CACAGTTCGTGGCCGTGGGGCCGGGCGCTGTGGCCGCTGGTCGGTGTGCGGTGCGTTCCCCGCCGCAGCCCGGGCAGGGAGCCCTCGGGGAGCCTGTGCCGCCCTGGAGTCAGAGAGCGTTTGGCCTGGAAGGCGCCTTAACCATCCTCCAGCTCCAGCCCCGCTGCCAGGGACAGGGACACCTCCCGCTGCACCAGGCTGCGCAAAGCCCCGTCCAGCCCGGCCCTGAACGCCTCCAGCGAGCACCCTGCTGCTCCCCGGGTGTTATCGCTGGCGTTACCCAGTGAAGGGTGGTTTTCCACTGATGCGTGCGATAAGCAGTGTCTGGCACAGCGCTGCTGGTACTGCTCAACAAGAGTGCTGCTGCACCCTCGCTCATAACCACGTCTGTTACAGCCACGCAGCTGCAGAGAACCGGGGCTGTGCAGTTACTGAGAGAGGTGCTTTGTACTAGACAGAATTCATATGTGACATATTCAGTGTGTCTATCGTATAATTTACAAATAAGCTGGTGCTCTGTTCATTTCCACTTAATACTTGTGTTACTACACAGCATAGCTCAGCATTACCTCCTTGCTACATTAAAATGCTGTTTGGAGTACAAGCTGAAATTCTTTTCTGTGTTAATCAGCCAAAAAGACGGAACAAGAGCTAAAAGATGAAGAAATGGAGCTATTCACAAAATATTACATGGAATGGAAAGGAGGAAGAAAAAGTGGCAATACGTCATACATGAACATACCACGATTCTACTATAGGGTAAGTGAGGTATCCAGATAAACCTCAACAAGAGACTGTTCTGTGTTATGAAGGAAGTTGTACTTATTCAAAGGGACACTTTGGCTTCAGAAGCTTAAGTAGATTCAAGTCTGAATGATGTGGATTGCTAAGCATAATTCTTTGTTTTATACAGTTGTGGATTTCAGCAGTTTCAGGTAATTGGTAAGCATCTCATCAAAGGCCATGAAATAGTTGGCTAATCAGTCAGTAGGCCTGGCTGTTCATTGAAGATGGGAAGTCCTCTTTCTTTTTCAGGCACCCTTCCTGCTTTAACTAGATTTTGACATGCTAGTGTTACAAATATGTATCTTTCTGTCTCTATTAAGATGTGATGGGATGCTGCTTCATGAAAATGGTGGGTCATTGGTCGTGCAGGCTGAAGATAGGTCTGTTGTTTGCATCATCCAGCAGAAATTCTTGGTCTGGCAACTTCTGTGTGAAATGAATTGGATTGGGATGGAGTAATTTGTCAGCATAAATTCAGCATCTTGGTATTGCTAGCACTTGTCATCTTGACCACTCAGCTGCTGCCTTACTCACATGGTCCCATATCCCTTAAGGTCATGGGTTTCTGCTAGTTAAGTTCTCAAGCACCTATGTTTCATGTGATGGATACATATGCAATTGTCCAGGTTCTTGTGGGGCTGTACAGTTCTGCATGTAAATTTAGGCAGAACTTTCATACTAAGTGTTCTTCCATCTGTTTTATTGGCCAAAAGAGGCCTGGCAGACGTTCACACTTTGGAGAGTGAGGCCTGCCGCAAAACAGAACGTGCTGCCTTCTCCTCAGTAAAAACACGGCAGTAAATGTCTGTTATGTGCGAGCCCTCCTACCTGGCAGCTGTGGGGAAGTGCTTGCTGGGTGGGTTGTCAGGTATGAGGTAGGCCTCTGTCTCTCACGTTAAAGATGTCCTGCTTTAAATAAATCATTTCAATATTGAAATAGTTTGAGGCACTGTGCAGGCGATAGCCCTGCAGAAGAAGCAGGTTCCATACAGCATTCTGGCAGACTGGTCGTTATTTTCTGTCAAGTAAACAGCTCCATTGTAGTGTGAGAGTCAGGACTGCCTAAGAGTACTTGCTAGATGTGTAGCTTTGGGATGGTACCACTGTACAGAAAATTAAAACACCGCACTGCTTCTAGCTGCCAGCTGAAGATGAAATCTTGCTTCAGAAATTGAGAGAAGAATCTAGAGCAGTCTTTCTGCAAAGAAAAAGTAGAGAGCTGTTGGACAATGAAGAGCTGCAGGTAAGAACATATTTTCTACGTGCCTGGTAATGGCTTCTGAGGAGACTTCCTGTTTCTGCAGAGGCTGATCCTCTCGTCTGTGCACAGAATCTTGTGGTGAGGTGTTTGGTGGTTGGGCATGTTGGCTGGTTGTGAAGTACTGGCTAAAGCTCAAGTGCTGCAGTCTTGGGTTGGTAGTGTCAGAAAGCTTCCTCGTTTTGATGTGTGTGAGGGACAAATCAGTGGCTTCTGGTTCTCCAGCATATTCAAACAGTTTCTCTAGTGGGCCCAGAAGAAGAAATAAGTTCTCTTTACATATCACTGAGAGAGAGTCCAAAGATGGTTGAGTTCACTCCAGTGCAAAGACAACAGGAAAGTGACCCTAGATATCCTAGTGGGGGGGAGTGTGCGTGTGTGTCTTAACGCCACTTCAGAGCAGTGGGAATGCAGCTTGTTTGCTTGCCTGGCTGAACTGATGGTGTGTCCTGATTACCTGAGGTAACCTTGCAGCAAAACCATATTTTTACTGCATTTTTAGATGTTCTGTTTTAAGCACATTGACACCGCTAGAGCAATATCTTCTTAACCAAATATAAATGCCTTTTAAGAATCTCTGGTTTCTGCTGGACAAACATCAGACATCGCCAATGATTGGGGAAGAAGCAATGATCAACTATGAGAACTTTCTGAAAGTTGGGGAAAAAGCTGGACCTAAATGCAAGTAAGGCTTTCTTCTCTTGTGTGTGCTTGCTTTGGATAAACCAAAGTGCTGAAATAGATGGAAACAGTTTATAGTGAGAGAAAAATCATATCCATATAGTTATTGATTAGCTAGTTGCTTTGCATCCTTGCAATGTTGTATTGCCCTACATCTCTGAGGGAACTTTTGATAGAGATGTCTGCGAGAGGGGTACTGCATCATTTTGAAGATGAAATTCTTATCAGCTTGAGTGGTTTTATTATGCTAGTGGCCACTAAACAGCACATTCTGTATTTAAAGAGGAAATTATGTCTTCAGTGATATTGCCCAAGCTTCGCTAATACCTTCTGATGGAAAATTTCGTAGCAGATATTCAGTGTACAGCATACAGTGAATGTTCCTTCTCTGTGCTCCTGTTGGAGACTGCTGTTCTGCACATGGCTTTAGGTCTGAGTTTTGGGCAGAGGCAGATTAGCTGTTAGTACCAGCAGTTTGTTTTATCTGAATGTTGTTGTACAAGATTGGAAGCTACCCAGTATATTGTACTAAAGAGAAATTAAATTGAATGAAAGTTTTCAAAGCTCCCACATTGCCACAGAGTCTCATGGGCAGCAAAAGCAACTGCTTTTTACTGTTTACCATTGGTACTTGGTAGGATCCCTCTTCATGGGTGTGGTGTAGGAAGTTAAACATCTTTGAAAACACAGATGTTGTATTGTTAAAACAGTATTTTTAAAGTGTCTGTGAGTTTTGGATACTGTAACTGGATCTGTCAGTGCAGTGTAATCAGATGCACAGGAGTGGCTTTGTCTTTATATTTTCCAGGCAGTTCTTCACAGCCAAGATCTTTGCTAAATTACTCCATAATGATCCTTATGGGAGGGTATCTATCATGCAGTTTTTCAATTATGTCATGCGAAAAGGTTAGTTGATGCTGCTTCTGTGTTAATGAGAAGTTGTTTTATTTTCAAGGCTATTTTAAGCTTTATGAAGTACTTGATGTTCTCTTCAACAGCAGTGACATCTAGCACTTGATTGCTATTGCTGTTTTCCTGGAGGCTTTAGATTATTTTTTTTTTCAGTTACTAGGAGATAGGAGTTCACCTTCCCTCTGAAATCCACCTCTCCTCTAAGCCAGAGTTATCCCTGTTTATTATACATATTGTCGTTCTGATTTCCTTAATTCAGGCAGCACTGTGAAGAGCAAGACAGTAAAGTTAGGTGGCAAGTGTGATCCTAACTCCACCTCTGTTGCTGTGCTTTAACAGCAGCCTCATGCACACTGTCCTGTAGGTTGCCTGGTTAATGTCCCTTCTCCTTGCAAACGCAGATCCACATGTTATTCTAACCCTCCTGTTGCAGCTCAGGACCCTTGGCTGTTGCTGCAACATCTCATACTGCACAAGGGGCTGTAGCAATCTGGCAAGCAATCTGTGTGCCACATGGTACACCAACACAGTGAAAATGTGCTGCTGCATGTATCTGTAGGTCAGGAGGAGACTGAATCCACGTGATTGCACGTGCCAGATGAAATGTGGGGCCTACTCAGCCATTTCTCACACTGAGTTATAAGTCTCAGCCACAGCATCCCCTATATTGCTAGTGACTTAACAACTCAGAGACTGAAGCAGAACTTCTAAACGGGGCTGGTAGATATCATGTACTTTGCCTAAATCTCAGAAAAATGGGAAATGGAGAGAGGCACTTAACATTCAAGAGTGCCTCTTGGCCTTCAGAATAACTTTTGGCGAGGCCTCAAAGCCCCCGTAGGTTTCTTGCATTCTAATTCCGTTTTCTGTTTTCCAGTATGGCTTCATCAGACAAGAATAGGTCTCAGTTTATATGACGTGGCAGGACAGGGCTACCTCAGAGAGTCTGTAAGTAAAGTCTTGATTAACTTCATGTCTATCTTTACCCAAATGAGAGAGCATCAGAAAGGCTCCAATTTTCTTCTGGTCTTATCTTGAGAAAGCTTCTATCATAATCGAGATTTGGGGTGGGAAAATTTGTTTGGATAAAGAGCAGCCTCTGTATTGTAGAGGTTTGGTGGTGAGAGTGCTGCTAGCTGTTTTAATGTAAGGCTGATTCTCTGAAAAAGGGATCCTAGATCTCAAGGTTTTGCCATTAGTGCTTTACTAGACTTTGTAAAGCATACTAATGAAATAGCTTTTCTTTAGTATGAATCACACAGAAGAATGGCTAGGGTGGGCCTCAATGCATTATTCTGCTCTTGGAACAGGAGTTAATATATAATAAATAAGAAGGTTGTAGTTACCACTCTACATAAAAAAGGTGTGTGAAACTATTCAGCAATAGGATAGTCCAATTAGCAGTTACACATTGGTCTTTGAAGAAGGCACAGTTGAATGTGTTTATATTTACATGTAAATATCTACTTTATTAACATTCTGCTTTATTTATAGACCGTTTCAGTCATGGCATCACATGTGCATGTATATAACCTAGAATTTCTGGCATGGAGACAGAAGCTTTTTTGCCTGCTTTCCTGCATTGTTACAGGATTGTATTTTCAACAAAATATACTTGAAAGCCGGGACGGAATATAGCAAACGAGCAACAATAGTGGTGTTTAAAGCTTGCTTTCTTTTCTTTCTTAATTCTGCAGGATTTAGAAAACTATATTCTGGAACTCATCCCTACTTTGCCACAACTGGATGGTTTAGAAAAATCTTTTTACTCCTTCTATGTCTGCACAGCAGTTAGAAAGTTCTTCTTCTTTCTGGATCCTCTCAGAACAGGTAGGTCCACATTTTCAAAATTCTAAGTGTGCCGGGAGTATTTTCACTTTTTAAATGTTTCCACTGGACCTAGTTGTGTTTTCCAAGTAGTACGTAGTTGTCTTTGTAGGCTTTCACTAATCAGTCTTGTGTTTGAATCTCTACTGAAGACCACGAGTCTTTACATGGGTCTAATAATCTACTTCTGCAGCTAATGAATTTCTATGAGATCACCATAATTTGGGGGACTGTAGAGTTATCTCACAGAAACTGACAAATAAGATATTGTTTCATCATAATGTATCATTTGCAGTAGCTAATTTTCTGTATTTGGGGTGAATAAAACCCACAGCAACTAACAGCGGGACTGCTCTGCAGAACACCCCCAGGGCTGTGGAAATGCTCGAGAGTGCTTATTGTAGTGTGTGCTTTCCCTGTGGTTACGTTGGATGCACCACCTCAGCTGGCTAGAGAAGGTTTGCAGCTATGGCTGCAAACCCTGATTACAGACGTCGCTCCCTCAGACAGCAGTTTGCTGTTGCATATGCCCTTGGTGCCAGTCACAGTGTGGGTGTTCTCAGGAGCTACCTGTGCCACTCGAAGATGCCAGAGCTGTGTGGGCAGTAGTCTCTGGCAAAGGTAGTTACACAGAGCGAGTCTATGTGAAGCTACAATGCCATTGCTTTGCACAGCTCTTTGTGCACCATCTGTGCACCAATCAAAGCTACACCAGCAGAACATTCTGCCACCTTAGATTTGTGTCACATCTGTAGCTGCTGAAGAGGTAGAAAAAAAATCACATCATTTAAGAGACACTATTATTCCAACAAACATTTTAAGTGTGCTTTTAATTTGTTTTTGTTTTTTTTTTTATTTTACATTTTGAACACTCACATTTTTTAAAATCTAGTTTTCTGGCTTTTAAGGCTTCAGGATAACTCCTCTTCTGCTAGTGTCAGACTAGTTTTGTTCAGTCATTTTAAAAGCTATTTATCTCTTGAATTACAGCCTTGTCCTTGATGTTAGAAGTTGCTTTTGTTTGGTGTTGTTTTGGTTTTTTTTTCCTGCTCCGAATACTTCTTCCTTAAGTAGAGCCACCTAAATAAGAACAGTCAAATGGATATGTTGGCTGAGCAATTGTTAAAATGTGTTTTACTTCCCTTGTTACAGGGAGGATAAAGATACAGGATATTTTAGCTTGCAGCTTCCTGGATGACTTACTGGAGGTAAAGATCTCTTACCATACGCTATTGTATTTTAATTTACTATTCCTGAATTCTAACTTTCTGTTTCACTTAGTTAAGGGATGAAGAACTTTCTAAAGAAAGTCAGGAAACAAATTGGTTTTCTGCTCCTTCCGCATTAAGAGTTTATGGTAGGTTCCTTTATATGCAAATGCTTTTTCTCTTCCTTTTCTCTCCTCTGTCTTGTGTGACTTAGTCACATTCTTAGTGTTATTTTGCCCTCTGATTTTGTCCCTTTACATCCTCCTGGTAACTTGTCTTTGCAACTCCTGTAGCCACCCTTTCAGTATATCTTTGTGACTTTATTTACAGTTTCAGTTTTCCTCTGTTGCTCTTTACCACACTTTTATCCTCTGTCATTTTGTGCCTGTTGCCCAGGGTACAAGATCCCTCCATAACATTCTATTTTGGCTGTTCTGTTCATGCTTTTGCATTGCCTTTAGCTCTTTTCATGCTTACATTAGATCTGCTTAAAGTAATATGCTCTTAGCCTTCTGTCACTTTCTCTATATGCACAGCTTTTAGTTTTGAGCCATCATCTTAAACTAGAACTATTAACACCTTGTTATAGGCACCCTACTTCTCCTCCCACCGTGTTGTGTGCTCATTTATGATGATCTGTGAATATTATTTGGGATATAGTGTATTCCCACTTGACTGCATTAAGTTTATGATTAAAATTAAATAGATATTTTTAAATTTCTGTATTTTCTTTCTCTGTTGAAAAAAGTTCTTTGCTGATATAAGTATTTTATGTTTTGCCCTCCCTAGGCCAGTATTTAAACCTTGATAAAGATCACAATGGCATGCTCAGCAAAGAAGAACTGTCCCGGTATGGAACAGGGACTCTGACCAATATATTTTTGGATCGTGTCTTTCAGGAATGCTTAACTTATGATGGGGAAATGGTAATCACGTATTTTCACTTCATTCACAACAGAAAAGCTTTGGCTTATTGAGGTGGGAAATGTCTCATGATCAGTAGCTGTAAAATAAAGAGTAGCTTGAGGTAAAGTAACTTTTCTCATTGTGCACAGAAATGACTGTGCAGCAGATTAGAAAAATTCAGTTTCTTCAGAGCAAGGTTATGGCAATGTGGCTTACAGACAAGTTGCTTGATTTGAAAAGCAGAGGTGATACAGAATCCAGACAGCTCACAGTAAAGCTTCTTGTGGATTCAGTAACATAAAGTGCATGTTGAAAAGAATGTATAGATGTAGCAATTTTCAGTTACACCTAATTCTGTAAAAAGAACAAAAGACAAGTGGTTGAGACTAGTGCATGTTAGCTAACCTGTCCACTTCTGCATGAAGACAACAATGTTTTTCTAGTAAGCTTTCCCTAGCTGTGAAAGATGGGAAGTCTAACTAAATTAGAATTAAAAGCTTGCATTGATATTTATTTTGAAAGCTTTACTTAATGCATTGCTACTCTTGTTTGCATTCAGGTAACTGAATTCTAGAAGTGATAAATTACAAATTCATTATACAGTCCTTCTGCCACCTTAGCAGGTTTTTGTTTTTTTTTTTTAGAATCACAGAATCATTGAGGCCATGAGGGATCCTCTTAGTTGCCCTTTGATGGACTTGCTCTGTCTCATTCTTGTATAAGGGAGGCCAGAACAGGACCCAGTGCTCATGTGTGGTCTAAGCAGTGCTGAGTAAAGGAGGAGGATCATCTTTCTCAGCTTGCCAGCAGAGCTGTTCCTGGTGGAGCTCAGGGTGCTGTGCCAGCAGCCTTTGCTGCAGGGGCACGTTGCTGCCCTGTGTTCAACGTTGTCGCCTGTCAAGGCTCCCAGGTCCATCTGGGCAAAGCTGCTTTTCTGGCTAGTCAGCCCCCAGCATGTAATGGTGCATGGGGCTGTTCCTCCCCAGATGCAGGACTTTGCATTCTCTCTGCTCAACTTGATGAGGCTGCTGTCAGCCTGTCAAGCTCCCTCTGAGTGGCAGAAAGTCTCTGGTGTTTAAGGTAGACAGGGTTATTATATACACAGGACTGAAGGATTTCTGTCCTTGTCACAACTATCTTCACTGGGAAACCAAGAATCAGGACTAGTGAAAAAGAAAAGTATGACCCATATTTCTGATGCCTGCTAATGCTTCTACCACATGACTTGCCAAACTACCTATTCTGGCTTTTGTCTGGTGATGGTGGGCTTACTGCCCCTGGACATTTAAGTCATGGTAATGAAAACTTTTTATATGGCTTTTCTTCACTAGTTGGATATGTTCTGCAGTCTAAAGGTGTATTAAATGTCATTTTAAAGTGTGTATATACCATGTTTAATTTAGATTTAGACTTGGAATCCCATTTTACCTCTAAAATGGCAGGATTTCTTACCATCATCAGTCATTAACATTTTTGTTCATGTTGGTAGCAGCAGCCCTTTTCTATTTCATGTGTTCTTTTTCAAAAAACAGACTGATCCCCTACAACGAAATAGCTGCCAATTATGAAGTTCAAGCTTGCAAAATCAATTTTAAAAGAAGACTGTAATAAACATGATTGTATCTACTTTTAGGACTATAAGACCTACCTGGACTTTGTGCTTGCATTAGAAAACAGAAAGGAGCCTGCAGCTCTGCAATATATTTTCAAACTACTTGATATAGAGAACAAAGGATACCTGAATGTCTTTTCCCTTAATTATTTCTTTAGGGTAAGTCTCTTTACAGGTAGGCCATTTTCTGTGTTTATAGTGTTACAGCCTGTGTGCTTCTGCATGCAGATCTGCAGGGAATCGCTTTGAATTACCAGTCCCCACTGGGAGGCTAGTAACTACTTCTAAGAAGATTTAAAATATTTTTTTAAAAAATGTTCTTAAACTTGGAAAGAATTCAAAAGGTATTTTCAATATTTTATCTGTAGTTGAAATTACCTGGTTTGATTTCGTTTAGGAAAAATATTTTCCATTGATTTTTTTAATTGAAATTGTCCTAAAATTGCCTAATGGTTACCTATTAAGATCTCTTATGATGGTTCTAATTGGTTATAGCCCATGGTTTTAATTTCCACTGTAATCCTAAAATTTATTGGAAGAAATTAAAGTAATGAAATGCAGTGATGGGTCTGTACAGCTTTGAGATTTTTCATTCAGTGTATTGATTGAAAAAAAACTTTGCATTTTTCATATTCTGTATTTTTATCTTTTGCTCTCAGAATACATTTTAAATCAGATGAACTTATTTAGTTGCTGCTAAAATTAACCGAAAGTTTTCATCCAAATTGTGGTTTGTGTGTGGATGTTTTTTTGTGTTTCTCCTCACTTACAGTGGTTTTGGCTTGGGGGGATGACAACACACGTGCTTTGTCATCTTGTTGTTTTGATTTTTTTATTCAGTAGATACCTGAGGTATCTTGGGAAAGGGAATGTCATGCAGTAAAAGAGTGGGTTTGCTGTGGATGGTTTAGGCTGAGTTATGGGCGTGATGCTTTATGTCCAACATCTCTTCAGTGATATCTATTCAGACACAGGGACAACCACTTTGATCTTCTTTATGCAGATCTTTGTACTACAACTGTAAAAATAAACAATGTCATTGTGCTTAGCTGTATGTTCAAAGTATGGTGAACATGGTACATGCTTCATTCAGCTCATTAGGGAAAGCACTCAGGCCTGCTCAAGGCATAATCTGATATCCACATTATTTCTATATTGGAATAAGTATCCCCTTGAACATGAACTCTGGTAGTGACTACAAGCATATGATTTTATAAAAATAAGACCTTTTATCTGGATGACCTAAAAAGGAAATGCTTAAAAAACACCTTTTTTTTTTTTTTAAACCCCACAAATTTATTTTTTTTAGTGCCTCAGAGCCATCACGTAATTTAAGGTGTAACAGGCCTTTGGAGGTCACGTGCTCCTGCCATCTGCACCAGCTTCCAGGACCAGCGTCATAGTTAGGTCGAGTCACTCGGGGCCTTGTCCAGGCGAGTTTTGGGTATCTCCAAGGAGGGAGACTCTGCAGCCTGTTTTGGCAGCATGTTCCTGTGTCTGACTGCCCTGGCTCAGGAGACTTTTCTCCTCTCACCATTTCCCTCATTGCTGTCTAACTGGAGTGCCTCTTGCTGCAGTTGGAGTCCACTGCTTCGTGCCCTTTCACTGTGTCTCTCCAAGAAGAGTCCCTGACACCTGCCTAGGTAGTTGAAGGTAGTAATTACATTTCCCCCGCCACCCCATCCTTCTGTTCTCCTGGTGAAATAATCCAAATTTCCCACCTGTCCTCTCAGCTGTGCTGTGCTTTGATAGCCTGCTAGAGGGTCCCCATTGGCTTGCCCATGTCTCATAAAGGGGAGCTCAAAGCTGTGAGGCTGCATCTGGATGGCTCCAAATGTTGAGTCAGGGGGAATAACGGCCTCCCTGAACCTGCTAGCTAGGTGTGTACTAATGCAGCCCAGTAATACTCGTCTTCATCACTACGAGGACACATTGCAGATTAGTGTTCAATTTTTTGTGCACCAAGGCCTCCAGCACCCTTCCTGCAGAGCTGTTTGTAGCCAGCTGGCCCCTAGAGCATACTGCTGCATGGGGTTATTCTGCTGCAGGGGCAGGCAAGGTTTTTGCATGTGCCTTTTGTTGCTCGCTGTGAACTTTGCTTAGTAGTTGTAGCTGCACTGTGTGCTTGATGGGCAACTGTCAGCCCAGGACTTGGCAATACTAAGGATCCTAAAGGAACTAAGCAATGATTCGTCTTCTCTGCTGGCTTTCACAGCTCACCATTGTCACCACTTTGTCCCCTTCTGTTCACGTGGCAGCAGGATTCAGGGAGGCCGGGGACTGTACCAGCTGGCTCTGACTCTGATTTTCATAGAGGGTGTTAATTTGCCGCTTTTACGTCTTACAAAACACGTGACGTTTAGTCTTGCCGCAGTAAAGCAATTTAACAAAGGAATGCTGCAATAACCTACTGTGGCATGGCTATCTTTCTACTTGTCCAGAGCTACAGATTTACTCCATGCCTCAGTTATTGAACAGATTCCTGGACTGCAGCAGGTGCTGTGCAACAGTGGGTGAATAACTGCTTTTCTGGCAGTGTGATGTGGGCAGGTCTGCACCTACAGAGGCTGTGCTGGTGCAGCTGTGCTGACAAGGCTGCACAGCTTGTGCTGGTGAAACAGGTTTGTTCACAGTTGTTACTTGCAGGCAGAGGTTTGGTGACACAGCTGTTTAGTACCACCTTAAAAGAACTAATGGAAAGGAATAGTATGTTGCTCAAAATGAGGAATGCCTGGTAATGGCGTGAACTGAGAGAGCCCTTCTATGCCTGGACAAATGCTCAAATAAACACGTTGTCTCCCTCGCATTATTATTGGATCAACCAGAACACAGGTTCCAATTTCAAAGTAACTGGAAGTGTGAGTAGCCAACACTGCTCTGTCTCTCTGCACATTGGTCCTTCCCTCGTCAGTATTTCACACTTTGTTGGAAAATGGCACCTTCTGATTTGAGTGTATTACGATCTTAGGCTTTGAGTGTGGAATGATAATATTCAAATGTCTTCATATTGCATTTGAAGAGCTTTTAAACACTGGTCATAATGAAGGTTGGATTCTTATCACGGTGACTAAGAACTGTGAACCTAGAGATGCGTGGCATTGGTTATGCCATGACTCACGCCTGCCCCACTTGTGGGAGAGAACTGATTGCAAGCTGTACCATGAGTTGTTTGCTACGGGGCAGCACAGCTTAAGATGCAGAAGTGTCAAAAGTTTCACACAATTCAGTATAGCACTGTACTACCTATTCCTAACTTTTGGATTTTCTAGGCTATTCAGGAACAAATGAAAATCCATGGACAAGAACCAGTTTCTTTTCAGGATGTCAAGGTTAGTTTTACTGAATACAGTATCACATGAAATATTGGAATACGCATTTCATAATTTACTTAATTTCTAGGTTGTTGTACATTTACTTGCACAGTAGTAGAGATGATCTGACTTTCCTACTTAGAGGCTTGAAAATGTTCTCTTCAGCATTTGCTCTGTAAGAAATCTGGCATGCAACTGTTCTAGTAGTGTCCTTACTAATAGACAAAGTATCTGTTAAATACATGTTGCTATGCCTTACACTTAAAGGTACTCAGTATGCCTATTTTGTAATTCAGGATCACCTGTTGGAGTTGAGGGGTGGACTGGTGACTAGAACACCTGTTTTTAAAACTCTGTTAGTTACTACCTGCTTTACATTTAGCAGTTTTAGTACTTACAGAAGTTCTTGTACGTTTTTGTTTTTTTTTATAAACTTAGCTTATACAAGCAAACTGAGTTTCATAGTGTCATTTTGAGGCCAGTGCCTCCCCAGAAAGCAAATTCTTATTTGAGATGTGGGAGCTGAACACACTGCTGCTATCTGTAACCAATTATTGTGCTCTGAATTTTAAATGGTTTGGGATTTAAGAGCTCTTTTTTTTTTTTGTAAATTGGTGTGGGTGGCACTAGTTACCCAAAGATCATTCTGTGTATGATATAAAGTAGCCATTATTCTGCTCATTAATGCATGTGGGGTTTTTTTCCCCAATTTTGTCTCTTCTTTCATAGGATGAAATCTTTGATATGGTGAAGCCTAAGGATCCTTACAAAATCTCCCTTCAAGACTTAATCAATAGCAGTCAAGGAGACACTGTTACCAGCATTCTAATTGATCTGAATGGGTTCTGGACATACGAGAACAGAGAGGTCCTTGTGGCAAGTGACAATGACAACACTGCTGATGTTGATGATACGTGACTTTAAACAGGAGCAGACTGTATCCCTAGAGATATCTCAAAGATACTTCAATCTGATGCACCAACTGTTGGAGGCTGGAAACATTCATTACCTGAATCAATTCCTTTTCCCATTTACTTCCCTGCCCTCCCTCTTATAATATAAGATGTAGTATATACAGAAATTGCAGAACTGATTTCTGAATAAAAAAAAAGCAAGTGTTGTTTTAAGAAATGGAAATAACCCTTTTTTTAATAAGTATTTTTGGGCTTTTTTCCTGTGTACCAGGCCCTGTTCTTATTTGAATACTGTATTCTAGATTTCACTTTACCCTGAAACTAAGGATGTGATCCTTAGCATCTTCAGCAGTGGCCTGTATCCACTCAGCCATCCCAAGCCTCCTGCTTCATCCCTGTATGGCTGGCTCTAATGATACCACTGTTGAGACTTCTGTTGTAAAGGCAAAAGTCTCCAGTAAGAGATGAAGAGTTTAGGCCTTTATCTTCTCTATCTATCCAGCTCTACGTGTCTAACAAAAAGTGAGTAACTATGGAACTGACTGAATAGTTACCTGTTTGAGGTTCATTAACAGAAATAAAACTGCACTAGCATTAGGTCTAGGTAAAACTAATCCAAGAACCTGTATAAAGGCTTTCATCACCTTTACCTCCTGTGCAAGTATTTTATGTAATTTAACTTAATTGTACAGCTGAGCTACAGCGGGAACGGTGAAACTGTCTTCCTCTTTAACAAAACCATAGAAATGTTTCAACTTTCAGGTAAAATTACAGTAGTGCAGAACAGGTTGTGTGGTATCTCAAAGTTCAGTGCTTGAATAATCCACCAGGATGCATGACTCAATAGAAGAGTGACAGGCATAGTGCCCTGGGTGCAGACATCTTTCAAAGACCACACCCTTCTAAAGGAAAATCCATAGCCAACTTCCAGTTCAAAAAATTATATTAAATATAAAATAACCAATTAATGCATTTACAGAAAAATTAAACCATTATGAAAGTAACTACTTTCATACAGTTTGCAAAAAACTGAAGGAAGGATTAAGTTAAGGCACAGTGAGTTAATACAGTATTTTATACACAGAAGTTTAAACCCAAGGCAGTGAGAGCATTTCATATGCAACAGATAACAGAGGAGAAAAACCCAACACGACTGAGGTTAATTTCCTGGCAGAAAAGCAAAGCATCCCCTGCAGCTGTAAAGGCTTTACTCGTGAGCTGCATGAGGCTTTCTGTCTTTGATAGTGTAAGAACTCCCAACAAGCTGTTTTTCTGTGGATCCCCCAGGTGTTGGAAGCAAGCTCTCCCTGGCAGATGTTGAGGGCTAAGGAATGGTTTTACACAGCTGTCAGCACCCTCTGTCCTGCAGTTCAAAAAGAGGCAAAGAACAGAGAATCCAAACGGATGGAAGAGAGCTGATGACTGAATCCTCCTCGGAAGACTTTTACTGCTGGAATGCTAAAGGCAGCTGACAGGAGAAGGAATTTGTGCTCTACAGGACACTAGTTTAGGCAGAGAGAGGGTTGTCTGAAATATGTAACTGAACTTTGGAAACTCATAAATAAGTAGCCTGGCCTCTGATGGTACATCAGGGTCCTTAGATAGTGGAACCAAGGCCAGGAACATACAATACCCAACACAAAAGTTCACTGAAGACTATTTAAAAAATGTTTTTAGAAATCTCAAGGGCAGAAGTAATGTTTCACAGGGTGACTAGTGCAGGTTCTCTGCTCCTTTATCTACGCTAGTTCTAGCTCTCTATAGAGGGTGACTGGGGCACTGACAGCCGATTGTCTCAAAGTACAAAGTAAACCATTCTCCTTTTACAAGTTATGGCAGTAAAATAGCCTTAATAGGTATTTGAAGCTACTTCAAAGCTCTGGAGCTTTGTGCATCTCACTGCAACGAACAGTAATTCTTATTTTTGTCTACTGTAAAGAAGTGTGTGTTTAAGAAAAAGAATGAATCAGGACTTTGGGTTTGTGAATTCTTATTATTTATGTATTCTGTGCTACAGGGAGGAAACACATCTGCAATGGCACATCCCTTACTGGTATTTTAACATGAAACAAGTAGTCTGTTTAGATTACCCAAGTACTTAATTAACCTATGTCCAGAAATGTTTTCCTAGTTCTAGACTGGTACCGTACACAGCATCCAGTGTGTTCAGTGTGATTTAGCAACACTTTAGTTTATTTCCCAGGACCATTCAGAGCATGTAAAGTATTGAAGCAGGTGGGTCTCCTAATCCTTCGACTTGGGAGTAAGAACATCTTCCACTGTTACTAGTGCTCTGTACTTTGCTACAGCACCGAGTGAAGCAGAGCACTATTAGCCTCCAAGGGTGCTGGTACTTGTTAGTAAGTTCTTGAGGGTGTTTACAGCCTCCTTTAAGTGTTGGGTTTTTTTTAATTAAAAAGTCAGTGGGTATTAAATCTAATTAACATTAAATCTTGTGTTAACAACACAAAAAAAAAGATACATGCACACAATAGTGACAATAAATAGGGGAATCCCATACTATCATAATGACTTGTGAGTTAGAGGATCTCGATTCCTATTAATCTATTCACAGAGAGCTGAGTTGCAAACAAGATGCCAATCAGAAAGAGGTGTTCAGGAGTAGGGAACAGCACTGCGCCTGCCATCCACGGGTGTCAAGAGGCGCAGCAATTCAGAGAAAAGACATTTTTACTTGCTTTACACATAAATCAGCTCACACATTAAATATGAGACCAAATATTTGTAGTGCAATTTTCATTTTAACTGAATTGCCAGTTTGGCAGAATGCCTCAGCCTGTAATAGGCAGACAGACTGAACAGACATTGCCGAGCTCTCTCCTGATCAATAAGAATGCTAGAAATTGTATTTTACTGAACAAGCTTAATCCTATTTTTCCTGCTTCTTATAGCCAGATTGTGACACCTGACACTTCCTATCTCCTACATTATCCAGCGCTTTACGCTTATGGAGGGACAGGAACTACATCTTGTTTATTTTCCCCAACAAACTGGCAATCTCCCTCATTTTCAAAGTTTACATTCACAAATGAAGTGCCTGCTGTGGCTTCAGGCTGGTCTGTCTGGACAGGAGCTTCAGCTTGTGCCTTGTTCTGCTGCTCCTGATGCCGTCTTTCTGCCTCTTCTGACATCTTGTTTTCCTGCTCCTCCTCTTCCTCCTAAAAACAGATAACCAGATTCATAAGCTAATCTTTACCATTTACTTACATTTACTTTTAAGTCTTTCCATAAAAACATACCAGTTCCTATTACAAGGGATGGACCTATGTTCCACTAGAAAATGTTCATTAGTTGATTACAACGTGAGGCATGTGCCAGAATTCCCATTATGGGAAAAAAAAATGTAGAAAACCACCAGAAGTGAAGGATTAAACTGTGTTAAATGAGCACAGAAAAAAATTTTTAGTCAATAGCAACAATGACAAGTCTATCTTCTCTAAAGTTTTGTCAGCTCTTAATAATAAAGAGATACAAAAAAAAGTAGTAAAGCTTTAAATATGTTTTCCATCTCTTCCAAAGAAAAGTTATTAAGGGTTGGGTTTTCTCTGCATAAAGCAGTGGCTACCTATCAGTCATTTCCAGCTATGACTTAGAACTAATGGTAACATCATGTTCAATTTACTCTTGACAAGTCATTGAACAAGTTTTAGAGTTGGAAAGCATATTCCTAGCAGCTGCCTCTTTACAGTGTCCAGTGACTGCTCCACCCAATTTAAAATGCATTGCGCATGAGAAACAAATAGAGCAGTGGTCAGGACCCAGCCAGCTCTAAGACTGATGAGCTGGTGAGAAAAGTCTGATGAATAAGCAAGCATTAATCATGTGTCAAATGGAAACTGAAGGCAAGAGGTTCTAAAACTTCATTTTAATGTTGGAATACAAATTTTGTTTTTTAAAGTACCAGGGAGGGCAAACTGGGAGAAAAGGAGAGCAAGACCCTATCTCACACACATACCTCTCTCTTCATTCTGTAATACTCATCAATGGCATATTGGTATTTTGGTGTGCTTATCCCCAGAACAGATGCAATCTTCTCCCCAAGGAAATCACACACTAAAGAATAAACAGAGGTTACATGCAATTAATATCTAGAAGAAAATTCTTAAGTACAGTTTCATTTTAAAAGGTATTGTCATCTTTCCTGAATGATCTTCCATAGTTCTACTTCACTCAAGACAAAACCAAAATCTGCTAGGCTAATCTACTTAGATGTAATTATTAGCTCAATATACTAATAACTATCCTTTAAGCTAAAGAATGAACAAAAGGAGAACATGGAGATCAATGAAAATCTAGACAGCGGTAGCATTTGTTGGGATTCTACCAGTTTCAGCTTTGGATCTAGGTTTGTTCTGCTAAGGGATCAGTTAAAGGATAAGCCTTTAACTCAAAATTAAGGTTAGACAAAAATACAGAGCTAGCAGCTGTATTGGCATGTCAGTCTAATGGTACCAGCAAACTAGGGAGTTATTTGTTGATATACGCATACTTCAAGTTAGTATCAGTTTTAACAATGTTCTGTGTTGCATACTACTGGATTGATAAAATATTTAGGTTTCAGCTGTCTCAATTTTCAGGTGCTGGTTCTTGAGTAAAGGCAAGCAAGAAGTCAAACACGCTGCACTTCAAACTGTAAATCTGCACAAAGGATGCAAATGAGTCATCTTAAAACAATGTTAGAATTTAGCAACTGACTGCTTCAATGTACACAATAACTAATTTTATAGATATTCTGGCTTCCAGAGCTCCGTGCAAAAGACCAGTTCAAATTACAAATGCAAAACTGAAGTGGGAAGGAAGAAGTACTAACCTTCAAATTCATAAAAAGCTTCTGAAAAAAGGAAATTGGTATCTACCTTTGTGTATGGAGGACAGATATGACAAGGAATAGAATTAGACGTCACGTTAGAGAAAAAGTGTTTCTAAAAATATGAATATTTAATTAATAGACTGACAATAGCTTTTATAAAATATTCAAAATTAGGTGTACGATGGTGGAAATGCCACAATATTTATTAAAAAAAAAAAACGATAAAGATATTTTATACCTTGGGAAGAATGTAGACTAGGACAAGGATTTTCAAAACTTCACAGAATTTTATGAAGTCCACTGGTCAAAGAAAAGTCTATGCAGTGAATTTAAGATTTATCTTTGTCTATTTTGTAATCTCAGAAGTCTCTTGTAAAGCACAAAATTAGATGTGTCCTTGAGATAATTTCTAGTTGTCTTGTCATAAAAATTGTCAGTTTAGTTAATCCAAACAGCATTCTTTTCAGAGAACATCATACAAAACAGTTCTATACAAAACCTAATAGCAAGCCGATATACTCCCTTGCAAACACCACCCTAACTCCATATGGAGAAAAAGGGGGAAAAGTATTCAGCAAATGGGTATTTTCTGTTCATTCTTCCGTTGTTGATTAAAAGTAGAAAAGATAAAGTGCTCAAGGCAACAGAGTACATCTCCACAGATTAAAATACAGGTTCATTCATACTTTTGAAAAAATGGTTACAAAGATGATTTACAGTCTGCCAAAGTGACTTTCAATATTACACTACTGGTTTACCCAAGAATTAAATAAAGCAATACCTGATAAAGTTGATGTGGCAACTCGCAGCATGTGAAACCACAAGTAGGGTCCCCAAGTGAGCGTTGTCTGTCAGAACAAGAGTAGTATGAACACATAAAGCTCTGCATTCATGGCACATGATAATACATGCAAAAACTCTAACGGGTTGAGAAGAAAGATATGCAATGTTTCATGGTCACCACCTATCACAATATTTTTGCCTTAAAGTAAATTTGGAACAGACAGGCATGAAGCAAGGTATGGCCTAAGACATAAACCATGGTTTACATCTGGGAACATTTACTTCACTAGTTTTTGTTTCCCACCTCCAGACTTGGGGAATGACAAGCATCCAACTCAATCCCAAGGTACCTCCTGTAACTAGAAAGACCCTCCCATAATAATAAAGGAATTGGGGATCTGTGTGTGGCTGCAGGGCTGAGACCTTGCTGAGATCCCAGAGATGTGGTAGATGCTCACATGACTGGAGTGCTCCAATGGAGGTTAACAATTTTTAGTAAGGACAGGCCAGGAAGATGAGGAGGAGGAGGAAGAGGAGTTGCCCTTTGCACGACTATGGTATATTCACCGCCGTAGAGGAAATACTGCAGCCACTAGACAAACTGAGATACTTACACACAGGAACTTAAAGAAAATTTAGAAATTAATGGGCATACATAAGCTATCCTCTTCACAAAGTAAAGAGGCTGTGTCTCTTTTTTTTTTTTTTTTAAAAAAAAAGCAACCCCAAAATCAAACAACAGGCCACATAACAAAAAGGAGATGGGGATCTAATCCAGTCTAATGAGGAAAAAGCTGTAGGCTTCCACTGCTGTGAAAGGGCAAAGTTAAATGTCATAGTGAAGTAGGACATGCTTATAGGTGCAGTCTGTTTTATTCAGGCAAGCTCTTTGTTAAGTATTTCCTCTCTGTAAAGATCTCTCTAGAGGTACTTTCCTTGCGGAAAGTAGCAGTTAAAAGTGTCAGCTTTTATTAAATGAAACCCATTAGCTCCACTCAGTTACATATGTATTTATAACTGCTGCTGAACACTGATAGTAACTGTTTTCTGTGATCTTATTGAATAGATACCTGTACGGGACAACCAACACTGTTGTAAATAATACAGCTACAGCGCGTAGTTGGTAGAGCCTCAGTGCGCACTTACACAAGCTACTGGACTTCAGTGCTTTCCAAGCACAGCCTCTACAAATCAATGCAGCAAGAAATCGTCTGTCAAGCCAGAAACTCAAGTTGAGCAGGCTGAAAAACGCCAGATGCTGTGTATTTTTTGGCAGTGGGTATGGAAAATGTCCTGCCAAGGTAAAGTGCAAGCAAAACCAGCTGCTATCCTGCTTGCACAAAAGCACTTCCAGCTCATTGATTACAAGCTCAGTTGGCAGAGAGGCTGAGGACAATCATTTTGGAGTTTGTTCAGTTGAAGAAGTCAAGAAAAGCCCTGGAAAAGCTTGTTGCCACAGGTGCAAATAATGGCCTTGACAAGGCTCTGCACAATCCTTCATTGCATGGTGACGAGGTTCAAAAGCACCCACACAGCGCAGGTGACAAACTGGGGCCTGCTGTTCAGCGGCAAGCGAGCAGCCACAAGAGCCCCCGTGACACTGAAAAGACAAGCTGAACTTCAGCCTGACAGAGGTAACTCAGACACAGACTATTCTACCATATTCGTGGTCACACAAACATGGGGAACTTCTGAGGCTCAGCAGACACAGAGGTTCTGTCTGTTTCTACTGTTCTGCCACCACTATTAAAAAACATTTTTGGTATGTTAGGAGCACTTCTAAGTTCAGCTTTGTGGAAACCTCTGCTTTCTGACAAAGCCCAACCAGATATTTCTTCACTCCTGCCAAGCAAGGCTTTGACCTTGCCTCAATTTAAAAAAGGAACATTCTTTTAAGTGTCTCAAAAGGCAATATGAAACCATGAGAGAAGCTACTTCACACAAATTCAACAAGAGGAAGGAGATAGCTTGGAGACTAAACCACCAGGAGCAATTGGGAACAAGAGAACACATCCAGGGAATAATCTTCCTTTATTTTTTCCCCTTTTACTTCCTCCGGGTAAATCTGGGTGGTTTCCCAGAGCACCCTGGACACGGAAGCAGGACTGGTGAACGTGAGGGGAGAAGAGGTGCTGGAGAAAACCAGAACCGTTTGGGTGATAGGAACAGGGCTGTCAGGGAGCAGCTCAGTACAAACTAACGCTACTCTATCAAGTAGCTTTAATGCAGTGAGCAATACTGGAGAACAGTTACCCAAGTCAGGTCCTTCTTTGTTTAAAATGGATAACACAGTGGTTATGACAACTGGTTTTTAAATTACAAAAATTCTTAATGTACAATTTTAATCCAAGTGCTGAATTTTAAATAGGAATTAACATAACAAATTCAGCCATTGACAAAACCAAGAGGGCCTGTGGTTCAACAGCAGAACATGATTTTGTTTCCTAGTATGGGGCTGCCACAGGGAGCACACATGCACTCCCTTGAGCTTCCGAGTGCACCATGTTCCTGAGCAATGCACATCTGTATTTATTTTTGCCAGATTTCGGTCCCTAACAACACTTGGCTTTCCAAAGAACATAGAGTTTCTTTTCGCCAGAGAAAATGGCAAAATGAGGAAAAGAATAATTTGAAATTTCCTGATTTAAGAAAACACAAACTCTGTATTGAAGAGTTATTATACACCAACAAACAGACACTTAGCCATTGTTTACTGTGCCAAGATGCATTTTAATTTAATTATTGACTGGTCTTTGCTATAATGAGTCCTTCAGTGAATGCACCATGTAGAACTGTGGCATCTAAGACACGCCAGTGAAAACAGATCAGAAACATACCATCCACCATCAAAAAGCTTCTACCCTACTATGAGTAGCTATTACTTGGTCATTGACTATTTTTCTCCCTTATCCTCAAATTCTTAAAGGAAAATTAGAGTTCAACGGTCCTCAAAAGAGGACTTTTTGCTTTTTAAAGTTAAGCTCTTTTAACTACAGGATATCAAGATAATCTTCCTGCAAGAATGTATTTCAATCTTTCTGAGCACTGAAGGTTAATAAAACTAAATATCTTCTGAAGCTTTGTTGCAGAGCTGTACTCAGGATGAGTGCTAAGGTTATCACCAACAGTTAAATTGCTTACAGTTGCTCTGTAAAGACTTACAGGCTCCACCTCATACCTAGTCATCTAATACGTGAATGCAGCAAAGAGTTTATAGCAACTGGACCTCCAGGGATAAACAGATTATTGTCTATAAAAGGTTAGAGAAATTTAGTTACTACAAAAAAAATGTTTGGTGGAAAGAAGAAGATGGAGATTTATATATCAGTGTAAACATCTAAATTTTAGGACAGAAGACTCAGTTAAAATGAAAGCATTTATGCTATTAAAGCATTTAATGTTTAATTTGAGAACACTCAGATAATACTAATTGCTCTTATTTTAAAAATCCAGGGGAAAAAATTTCTTAACCACACCCTCTGCTCTGGGTTCAAGTCATTCTTAACCTATAGAAGTATCAGGATCATTGTTTCAAAGCAAAATTTAAGAGCCAGTTCTTTTAGAGAATTTGTTTTGTTATGAGTGGCAGCAGCCCATCATGCTAAGTGCTTTGGTTATCATATTATTAGAACATATACATGTTACTTGGCTTAGTAAGAAAGACATTGTCATTGTCTGCTTTGCTCCAAAACACAATTAAACCAAGGAACTTACTGAAGATGTTTCTTTACAACACGGCAAAATATTTGTTTCTCTTAAACTCATTCAGAAGCTGCCAGGATGCCAACACCAGCTGAGCTTTGAAATTTCATGATGCAAAGTTTTTATTCAAAATATTAAATGTGCTTTTTCTAAAAATAAATTGGACCAGAAACAGCTATTACTTGCAACATACTTTTCTGTATCCCAACTGAGATAACAAGTTTTAGACATGCTGGTCTCAGCAAACCGACTATTTAATTGCTTTTATAGAAATCCTACAATAAAAACATTTTTATGGCAGCTGTTGGCTAAAACATCAAAGCTCAGCTTGGACTAAGATTTCTTCAATTGACTGGCTCAGCTGGGATACACGAAGCACGCAGCAGATAAGGTAAACTTCACTTAATGGCAACCCTTGGTCTAATCAAGTTTATTCTGTCAAGGTAAAAAGCAATACGTAATAAGGCACACTGTGCTCCACAATAAACTAGTCTGGTTTGGGGGGTCCTTTTATTAAAAAGTGTAATAAGAATTAAGGATTTCATAAATCTATCAAAGGAGAATAAAGCAGCCCTAGCTGTGCCATACAATGTACTTTTTGGTGCTGTCATTGGAGAGCAGGAGAACGACCTCACAGCCTCCTGGGCTGTTGTGCACCTTTGAGGGCTCTCCAGTGCGTGTCCATCTGTACAGCGGCGTGTGCGTCTCCAGCCTCGCAACACGGCCGTCAAGGCCCGGGAGCCTTCCACCACTGCACCACAGTGCAACTCCTCTACTGAGAGGAAACGGCACAAAAATCTACACAGACCTGGCTCCCTGCTAATTAAGAGTTGGGGGAAAAAAAATGTCTTTCACATCCATGGATATCTGATATGACTTGCATAGTGGGGAACAGATCTGCTCTCTGAGGACACCTGAACACTACCATAATATCCAGAAAGTTTCACAGTTCTTGCATTCCTTTGAGCAGGTCTTCTGTAGAGGGAAAACAACCAAAACCAACATCCATCAAACAGCTTAACATCTACTCATTGTTTGTGACTGTAATACATTTATTTTCAATCTATAAACTTCACGTGTATTTTGTACTGATGGTATCCTAGCTGCTCTCAGGCTAATGTTACACTTTGTTGCACACAAAAACTGCCTAGTAAGAAAGAGTGCCATCAATCCATCCAAGATGAAATGCAAGAGCCCCACCTGTGAATCGCTCGGAACCTCAATCCCAGCTAAATTCCCATAGTCGCATTGCAGCTCAGTCTTCAAAAGATTTTTTTTTTCTCTTCAAGACAAATTCATTTTACAGAGGGAGGGAAAAAAAAGAAGTGATTGAATGTTCTTCCCAATGCAAACCTGTTATGATCCACCACTTCTTCAGAAGACAATAAGAAAGTCAAAATCTTCACTGCAGTCCCTTCAAAGCAAAGCTCTCCCAGGATGGATACACATACACAAGGCCTACTACTGTACAGTAAACAGAGAGCTTCTACCACAACATTTATTAACTACAGACTCCCAAACAATGGTACAGAAGTAATTTCAACAGTAATGCCAAGAAGCCAGGGCATTGGTTTCAGTGCATGCAGAGACTATTATCTAAAGTGTGGGAACAAGCAGCCCTACATCAGCATCTGCCTCCAGTATGCAACCAAGAAGGACCAGCTGCTGCACAAAGTAATGACTCCTGGCCACCTGACCACACTGCAGCACCAACTGCACATCAGGAAGGACCTCACCAATTTAGGAGTCTCCACCTCTAGCTCAGTAGAGGCAACCAAGCTGTTTTGCCAATTACAACACCTAGCATGAATGATGCAGCCAGCAGGAAGACAAACCAGTAAATCAAGGGTATTGAATATAGAGAGGTCACTACATGGATGATCACCAGGGGTACAAATAAGTCAATTAGTTCACTAGCAATTGACATTGCCCCCAACAACGATACCACACGACCGACAATAGGTGGAACAAATAAAGAACCAAAGTCTCCCATAGATGGAATGGGAGACAAACAAGTCAACAGGTTAATCACATAAGATAAAGGCAGCCACATATTTCTCTCCCCTAGCCCACATTCACAAAGGTCCAAGCTGACTGGGGCCCAGTTCCAGGAGAGTCAGGAGGTCCTTCCCCAACCAGGAAACTCTATGAAGTGTGCCCACATAGTGACTCTCACCCGATCAGCCCACGTTCACAAAGGTCTAAACAGACTGGGGCCCAGCTCCAGGGAGAGTCAGGAGGTCTGCCCTGAACCAGGAAGCTCTGGGGAGTGCACTCCACAGACAGACACTCCTGACTCCCTGCCAGTGGTCCCAGCTTTTATCCCCAAGCAGACACCTGACCTTTGTCAACTCACTGCGGGACCCCTGGGGCTCATTTCCCTTATGGCTCTCCCTGCAGGGCCGGCCGCACCCTGGGGGGAAGCTATAAGGCAAACTCACCACCTCTGTATGAAGGGCTGTGGGAATCACCCATATGTCAACCTTAATTCAGGGCTCGGGGTTCAGACCCCAGCATTTCACAAGCCCAGAGAGGGCCAGGAAGGGAGCCTCTCCAGCAGTCAGGGACTGCAGACCCTATTTATTGAGGTAAGAATTGATATAAGAGGGTAAGGAAAAGAGGTGATTGGGACACCAGTTCGTGGGGGTGTCACAAAAGAAAAATGCGACTGGGGATGTGGAGAGATTGTCTCTGGGGCTGACTCCCAGAGGGCAGGGAGCTGCTGCCACCAGCACTGGCACGCAGGGCTGCAAGCTCTGCAAATACACCATCACTACCAAACAGACACAACAACAGAATAAAGCAGATGATGTATTTCATTGTACTTCTAAGCACAGATCTGGAATCACTGGCAAAAAGGAAATCATATTTTAGCAGCTACAGTACCTACTATGGGAGACAGCTTTAACTGTCAAAATTCCACTTGGAATTTGGATCAATAAATGAAGACTGCATTCACAGGTCAAGCAACATCTTAACAGATTACAACACAAGTGAACTTTTACATACATGGACTAGCCTGTTCCTTTAAAACCTAGTTTTCATATATCATGAATTAAACCAGCTTTCCTTTATTTCTGCAACTCATCCGTTTCTTTGCCTTCTGTACTCTTTTAGTTATAACCAATTGCTGGTATGGTAACATTAAATTACAGCTTCAACCCTCCACTGTCACAAAGCACAAGGAAAAAAATGCCTTCCTTGCACATTTTTTTAAACAGTATGAATCAAGGAGACACCAACCAAATATTATTAGAGGGGGGAAATGCTGGAGAGAACAGACTAGAAACATGAAGACATTACACCCATTTCTAGTTAATAGGGCTACCTTAAGCAGAGGAGGACCCCAGACAAAACTTCTCAGGAATACTGCTCACATATTTCTCAGTCCCTAGAGCCAAGCAAATTAAGAGACTCTTCAATACCAGATACCAAATCAGATTTGCGACACAACAATTAAAGCACAAAATGTGGGTAGTTACCCAGTAAACCAAAAGCAGCCATTTATCAAGTAAAATACCTACAGGATCTACAGGCGGTAACAGGTCTTTTTTCTCTTGTTCATCTTCCTCTTCATCTGTGCTATATTCTTCCATTGTTTCTCCACTTGCAAAATGAATAACCCTCCTTGGAATTTTCTTCTTCTTTCCTATGACACCCAGCTCCACATTCTCAAAGCCTCTATCTCCATTTGCAAGTTGCTACAAAGAAGAAAAGAAATCATTATCTCAAATACATGGTTCTGGAACTGGAAAAGTTCCCCCTTAAAAAACTTCTTAAGATATTTAAAATATTTTAGATTGACTGGCATATACAACGGACATTTGCAAGAGCTTGGCTCTGGGTGAAAGATAAGACTGAAACATTATTGCTTGCAGATAAGTAAAAACTGATCCCTTCACTAACAAAAAGGTAAGTGCCTTCACTTCAGCATGGACAGGTGGTATTAAAACATCTGTTCTGAAGAAGCATGGTGTTATGTAGAAGTTTCTTAGTGGGACACTGTTCTTGAAATAATTTGATAAGCACGCAAGTGTTAATGTGTAGAAGTATCGCTGGTTTCGGAACACATATCTAGTGAAGTTAGTGAAGTAGTTCATAGGCTGTAGCCACCCCTTTACAAGCTTAGACAGACACCTCAAATGCAGAAAACCGAATGGAAGATAATCAAGCAGCCAGGCTCAAGCTTTAAAAGACGCAGCCGCAGAATTTAAGTAAGGTTTTGTGTTGTATCTAACGAAACAAAGACTTCATTTTGGTCGAGCTTTTACATATTACTTCATCAAAGGCATAATACTGTTTTGAAAACACTTCTGTCATACAAAGAAAGACACAGAAGTTAGGAAATGCCAGACACATGTTTTTAACGTACCACAAAGGTTTTCAAAAACACACAAGCTCATGTAACTTCAAACTGTATCACAAGGGATGAGGTATGTGTATACAGAATTCCAGCTGCAGAAAATGGGCACCTTGCAATTTCCAACTTCTTGTCTATGCAACCTTAATTGCCTCAACAGAGGCAATCCGAAATTATTTATAGAAGTACGTATTTTATCACATAGTTGCAAGACACCCCATAATCACTGCACGCACAGCATCAGCATTCCCATCGCTTATGTCAGGCTATGTAAATCAGCTTTGCAGTGCGGGGAGGCTGGGTTAGCAGGGAAGGCCAGAGGTCACGCCAGAGGAGCACGGGGGGCCGTGGGGAGCAGAACGGCGTCCCTCCTTCCAGGCACAGACTTTCCTCGTGCCCGGAGAGAGCGGGAGGGAGGAGAAGGTCCCGTGCGGAGCCGCGCAGCGTGGAGAGGGAGCGCGCACTCGTCTCTCCCAGCCCTCACACCAGCGCTTCCCAAAACTGCAAGTCATGTCAGCTTCCCCCACCATTTCTGTAGCTACCGGGGGACGTTTTGGATGTTTTCCGGGAGGAGCAGAGCAGAATCAAATGGCAAGTTTTCAGTAGGGTAATTCAACTGAAACAGCATTACATTTTCATGCAGAATTACACTGTCATGCAGAAAGACAAACCTGACTACCCAGGGCCCTGTGCGCTCTCTGCTGTGCTTCAGCCTTGGGAGCAGAGCAGGAGCACAACAGCAAGGCTACAGAAATACAAATGCTGAAAACAGTGAAGCAACCTAAGCTCTGGGAGCACTCCTTGCTGCTATAAAAGCAGGCACCACTTACTGCGACTCAGTACTGCATTTTTTTGGAGCAAAGAGCACCACAGAATCAGCCTTTTATGAACATTCCACGCTCTTTTATTGGCATGGTACAATGATGCCATTTTTCATGTTTAGTCACAGTGCTGAAGAGCACTATTTCTAGCAACACAGCACCACAAATATTACTGTGATTAATAACAGCAAGTAACATGAGCCTTCCCTTAGAGCTCCTCTGAGGGCACGGTCTCTTCATCGGATTTTTGAATCATTTAACAAAAATCCTTCAAATATTTTAACTTAGGAAAAAAACTGAGTTACTATTTAAAGACTAAAAAGCAGGCCTTAATTCCCTGCACACCTACACTCCACTTACTCTACCTACAGTAAGCAGCTCCACATAGCTGGTACTGGTAACAGAGTTTCACATAAATGCAGTAGTTGGAGACAGTAAGGATTCATCAAGGAACAATGAATACAGTTTCCCTTAGTAACCTGATTCAGAGTCCTAAATTATTAAACAAAATAATAATAAATATCAGCTGATGCTTTGGTAACTACCTAGTCAACAAACATGGATACGGGTTTTAGTCATCACTGCAGCATTTGTACTTTTAATTTTTACATCCACAACATCAATAAAAGCCAAGTCTCCCAGCTGCAAGGAGAAAGTTCAGCATAAGTAGATTTTATTTATCTTTCCAAAACCGTTGCAATGCAGATTTAGTCTAAAATTGCCAGTTAGACTCACTTTATAGCTGAAATGTTACAGTATCTCCTGTTTGAGGCTTTACTCTGCTAGTGCAGGGTTTCCATCAGGTTGCCACTTCATTCTTTTCCACAGGCCCATCCCTCTTCAACACACAGACAGGTCTTGAAAGACTCAGCATTTGCCTTAACCTTGTGACACAGAAGTATTTACATTGGCTTCTATTCCAATTCCAGCAGCTATTAGACACAAAGGCCAGTCACCCTTGTGCTTTTGCCACACTAGGTAACACTCTGATGGCAATCAGTGAACATTGTAAAGCAACTTCTTCTTTCTTTTAGATGCCCTGTTGGAATTGTTCTTGGCTTTATGGCACCCATACAAACCCCACCTGTCAGGAAGCCAGCATCTGAAACTGCTGCTCCTTGTTTTCCCTCTTTACCCCCACTCTCTTATCTCACACTTTGGCCGAAAACAGAGAGAGCAGGGCACATATTGCCGGTATTGGGACAATACCCAGCACAATGTCACTTCAGTCCACAACCAAAATGCCAAAATAAATAAACTACAATTAAGGATGAGGTGTGCCAGGACACCTCCAGGTGAGCTAAGAGAGCTCACACAACTAATATTAGATGATGCAATAACATTGTTTCACCAAGGAGAGGAAGAAGAAACCCCAAAACTAAGAAGGAAAGCAGACAATTCACTTTTAGCATGTTGGACTTGCTCATGACCCAAAATGCCAAATTCTGTGATGTCCACTCTCCCTCAGAAAGACGAGTAATTCACTTTGCAGGTTTACAATAACTCTGGTAAGATGTAATGAGAAATATTTCTACCCATACCATCTTGCCTGCCTTAATTGATTTCATTTGTGGTACTTTTTTTTTCAGCTGGGCTTTTCCAGTAGGGTTTATTTGGCATTTGGGTTTATTTTTTTCATATTGCTCGACTTTCCCCCCTTGTGTTTCAAACGAAACTAAACGTCACAAATCATTCTGGAACAGAAGACAGCAAAATACCAGTCAGAGGACGACCGTCAGAGAAGACAACCTCAGAGAAACAAGCCCTGGGAAGGCACCGTGACCAGTGAAGGTGCGGTGCGTGGAGCACCGGCGTGAGGCCGCGGTCGGTGCGGGGCTAGCTGCGGGAGCGGCAGGGGCCTCGCCGGGTCACGCTCCGTT